GTCTCATGTGTCGCAGGCTGCCGGGAGCAACAACGCCTGAATATTCCATCACAGTCACGATGTTGATAAAAATGTTAATGATAAACTGATATTGATGAGAGGCGATGTTGATGATAACCTGTCGACTCGGCACTAACAATCAAATGTTGTCGTTGTTTCAGATTTAGCTACTCAGAGCGACGTGTCCATTTAGCACGGGCTATGGTAGGAATAATTAAATATTCCTCGGCCTATTTATGAACTGAAGGCTCTTGCACGTGACTTCCCTCATCCCAACATCCTTCCTGGCCGCTATTCACCATAGATGGACATAAGAACAAAGGTAACTGCAGAAGGCCTATTAGCCAATACGAGGCAGCTCCTATCTATAACCACCCAATCCCACTCATATACATGTCCAACCTACGCTTGAAACAATCGAGGGACTCCACCTCCTCCACGTTACGCGGTAATTGGTTCCACAAATCAAGAACCCTGTTACTGAACCAGTATTTACCCAGGTCTTTCCTAAATCTAAATTTATCCAATTTATATCCATTGTTTCGTGTTCTGTCTTGTGTTGATACTTTTAATACCCTATTAATATCCCCCTTTGTTATGTCCAGTAATCTACTTGTAAACCTCTATCATGTCACCTCTAACTCTTCGCCTTTCCAGTGAATTCAATTTAAGCTTTGTTAATCTTTCTTCATATGAAGGTTAATCTTTCTTCATATGAAAGATTTCTAATTTGGGGAATTAACTTTATTCATCCTACGCTGGACACGTTCAAGTGAATTTATATCCATTCTATAGTACGGCGACCAAAACTGAACTGCATAATCTAAATGGGGCCTAACTAGAGCAAGATACAGCTGAAGAACCACACCAGGTGTCTTGTTACTAACGCTTCGATTAATAAATCCCAGTGTCCTATTTGCCTTATTACGAACATTCATGCATTGATTTTTTTGTTTTAAATTCTTACTAATCATAACTTCCAGATCCCTTTCGCAATCTCAACACCATCTAGCTCGTACCTTGTAACTCTATTATCATTACCTAACCTCAGAACTTTACATTTGTCAGCATTAAACAGCATCTGTCAATCTTTTGACCATTTCAAAACTCTATTTATATCAACATGAAATGATAGTGAGTCTTCTTCCGTGTTAATTTCCCAACCGATTTTTGTATCATCGGCAAATTTGCTACTCAAACCTGAATCTAAATCATTTATATATATTATAAACAAGAGAGGTCCCAATACAGACCCTTAAGGCACTCCACTTACAACATTTTCCCACTCGTTGTTGTTGTTTCAGATTTAGCTACTCAGAATTCGTCTTCATCTTGAAAAACATAAATTAATAAATGAGTCACAACATGATTTTACAAATGGCCGATCATGTTTAACAAATTTGCTATCTTTTTAGGCAGTTGATAGTGGTAAGGATTGTGATGTTGTGTACCTTGACTTTAGCAAAGCTTTTGATACAGTTCCACATGAAAGACTGATTAAAAAATTAGAGGCTCATGGTATTGGAGTTATATATAGGCCACCAAATTTAGACAGAATAGAAGCAAAGTATCTATGGGATGAAATATCTAGAGCATCTAGATCTAACAGCGTTTATGTCATGGGTGACATTAATTTTAGTGGAATTAACTGGTTGAACAAAACAGGGAATAATGAAGCAGAAGATTTTCTAGAATTAATTGACGATTGCTTTCTTACGGAACATATTAAGGAACCAACGCGGGGAAATAATATTTTAGATTTAGTGTTAACTAACAGGGAAACACAAATTAAGGACATGAAAATAGGGAGTGAGCTAGGGAACAGTGATCATAAAGAAATCACATTTAGCATTTAATGGAATAGATCTGTAGGAGAAAATTCTGTTAAAGTGCCTGATTTTCGAAAAGCTGATTTCAAAAGCCTAAGAAATTTTTTGGGTCAAATAGATTGGAAAGTCTTGGGTATGGGGTGTGGGCCGGTCTGTACAAGTGCTGAGCAAGAAATTTCAAAATGTTGGGAGTCAATGACTAAGGCGATATTAGAACATAAGAACATAAGAACAAAGGTAACTGCAGAAGGCCTATTGGCCCATACGAGGCAGCTCCTATTCTATAACCACCCAATCCCACTCATATACTTGTCCAACCCGCGCTTGAAACAATCAAGGGACACCACCTCCACCACGTTACGCGGCAATTGGTTCCACAAATCAACAACCCTGTTACTGAACCAGTATTTACCCAAGTCTTTCCTAAATCTAAACTTATCCAATTTATACCCATTGTTTCGTGTTCTATCTTGTGTTATTTTTAATACCCTATTAATATCCCCCCTGTTATGTCCATTCATCCACTTGTAAACCTCTATCATGTAAGAACCATATTGCTTCTCAATGACTTAAAATGTGGGGAGGCTGTGGACAAGGTGATGTCGATGTCAATGAATTGGCAAACCACATCAAAGTTAAGAAAGGACATGAGGAAAAACATAGAGGAAAATTTACTGCATCAAGAACATAGAGGAAAAATTACTGCATCTCCTCTGTATTCCTCCCATGTTGGTGTTAATTGAAATACATTCATTCTTGGTAATGAATGTATTTCATTACCAAGTATTTCCTTGGTAATGAAATACATTCTTAAAGGACATCATGCTTTGTGACATAACATAAGGATCTTATTATGCATTCACGTGCATTATTCAATTCTTCCCAACTTTTGAAGTGAGATTAATTCATCAGCTCTCTCGCCTCTCATCAGTTTAATCGATTGATGAAGATTAAGCCACTCAAAAGGTGGCACGGGCATGAATAGCCCGTAAGTGGTGGCCCTTTTGAACCATTACTAATATCAAGAGCTGTCAGTCTAATCGATTGATGATTGATGAAGATTAAGCCACCCAAAAGGTGGCACGGGCATGAATAGCCCGTAAGTGGTGGCCCTTTTGAGCCATTACCAGTATCAAGAGCTGATACTAGAGATCTGTGGAGGTGCGACTGCACCCTGCGTGACGGGAGATGTCTCCCTTGTTAATGTGTTAAGATGAAGATGAAGCCACCCTAAAGGTGGCACGGGCATGAATAGCCCGTAAGTGGTGGCCCTTTTGAGCCATTACCAGTATCAAGAGCTGATACTGGAGATCTGTGGAGGTGCGAATGCACCCGGCGTGACGGGAGATGTCTCCCGTGTTACTGGTGGCTGAGCTAATTGGCCGATAGTTTGACGCAAGTGATCTATCTCCTTCCTTAAAGATTGGTACCCCCATTAGCTACCTTCCATGACTCTGGCACTCTGTCTAACTCTCCACGTTACGCGGTAATTGGTTCCAGAAATCAACAACCCTGTTACCGAACCAGTATTTACCCAGGTTTTACCCAAATATTTCCTAAGTATTAGGGGTGCTATATTAAGTTGGATTTGGGCATGATTATAAAGTCAAATAAAGACAAATAAAATCATGTTGACCAGATACACTAGAAGGTGAAGGGACGACGACGTTTCGGTCCGTCCTGGACCATTCTCAAGTCGATTGTGATGAGGAAGTATGTGGTCTGGTCAACATACTTTAGCCACGTTATTGTGACTCATCGCCACGGGAGACATCTCCCGTCACGCAGGGTGCAGTCGCACCTCCACAGATCTCCAGTATCAGCTATTGATACTGGAAATGGCTCAAAAGAGCCACCAATTACGGGCTATTCATGCCCGTGCCACCTTTTGGGTGGTTTAATCTTCATCATCATCATCGACTCATCGCCTGCAAATAAAATCATCTTACTAATGATGACTCCAAGATACATTTCGTAATCAGACTTTGCAATCTCAACACCATCCAGCTGATATCCTGTAACGCTATCATCATTACCAAGCCTCAAAATCTTACATTTGTCAGCATTAAAGTGCATTTGCCACTATTTTGACCATTTCAAAACCCAATCTAGATCATCTTGAAGTGATTTTGAGTCTTCATCCGATCAATAGTGATCGGAAGACTCCAAGTGGTCAAGACTCCACACCCTGACTTTTCTTCATTAGTTTCCAAGCCATCACAATAAATTAAGCACAATAGTGGTTGATTTGGGCGTGTAATTTATGTTTTGCCTTCACTTGTCCTGTCTCATACATGCATGTCTTGTCTCATTTCTCCCTTATAGAGAGAACAACCTCCACCTCTGCGTTACATTCCTCCTTTGGTGATCTTAATTTTTTCTTAGCTAATGAACCAGTACACACCAGTTGCGTTGCTCCTGGCAGTATGGGTTCGAGTCACTTCTGGGGTGTGAGTGTTCAGTTAGCTGATGAAATACAATCTTGCAAGACATAAATGTTTTGTAGCATTAGAACATATGGTTCTCATATATCCTTTCTTGTGTTATCTTGTTCAATGCTGTGTTCATTTCTTCCCACGTTTTGAACAGAATGGATTAATTAATTTGCTTCTCCATTCATTTCTCTAATGCCTCTTATGGGTCAAAAGGACCTCTGCAGTTTCCTTAATTATTATGTTATTAATTGTTTTATTGCTAACAATTGTAGCTTGTTGACAAATTACTTATTCCAAACATTCGGACGTTCATTTCCTAAACAAACAGCCAATTTTGGATTTAATAGCCTTAAGGTTATCTTGAGGTTATCTTGAGGTTATCTTGAGGTTATCTTGAGCAGCCTGACGCATTTTTAATTCATTTGTAATCTTTTTAAGCAAATATAAACACAACCCTTCCCAACATACACTACATAAAGGAAACTAGTGAAACAATTTGGAGCGATGAGACAAGAGATTAAACCCTCACCTGCCCGTGTCGCCAGAGGGCAGGGTGAGGAGTATGGGGGGTATATATACTACCTGGGCGACCGGAATATGGCCACAGCACCAACACACTGTACACTACACAGTCCAGATCCCGAGGCCGCCTGTCGACTCCACAGTCCAGATCCCGAGGCCGCCTGTCGACTCCACAGTCCAGATCCCGAGGCCGCCTGTCGACTCCACAGTCCAGATCCCGAGGCCGCCTGTCGACTCCACAGTGAAGATGCTGAGAGTAGGTCTCATCACCGTCACCCTGGCCCTCCTCGCCTTCTACGGAGGAGTCGGCGGACAGATATTGAACATCGACCTGGCCACTGTGATCAGGGAGTTGAACAACCGGGATTCTGTGGAGTTACACGTGGCCTGTGCCGCTGGCCAGGGACCCTGCGACATGAGTGGACAACAGCTGCGGCGATACATCCCAGAAGTGTCGACCAGCGGCAGGTGTTTCAGGTGTACAACACAGGAGAACAGGAACATACGGGTGTTGGTGTCAACCCTTCAGAGGAGGTACCCTCGTTGTTGGCAAGTTATCATAGCTGTCTACGAGAACCGTCAAGGTGTCAGGCCGACAGCCAAGGGCTGTGCTCATTAAGTCTCCAAACGTTACCGCCGAACTACCTCATATGGGCTCACCATAGCCCGTGCTACTTGGAACTTTGTTCCGGGTAGCGAATCAACATCAACGTTACCGCCATGACTATTACCTCATCGTACGTCCTAAACCTCTGTCCATTATGTTCATATTTGCTATTAAAATGCTATTTTGTCATACAATAAATGCTATACAAGTTAAGTGTCACTCCTTGACCTTTTTTACCAGTGTAAATGACTCGGTAAACGACGTGGACGACAACACAGCTGTCTCGTATATGTTAATCTATATATTTATCTAACGTTGAACTATTATTACCTATTTGATTGTATTTTTACATGCATAATCTCTACTCCAATTTACATGCATAGTCTCTACTCCATTTTACATGCATAGTCTCTACTCCATTTTACATGCATAGTCTCCACTCCAATTTACATGCATAGTCACTACTCCAATTTACATGCATAGTCAAGTTACATGCATAGTCTCTACTCCAATTTACATGCATAGTCTCTACTCCAATTTACATGCATAGTCTCTACTCCAATTTACATGCATAGTCTCTACTCCAATTTACATGCATAGTCTCTACTCCATTTTACATGCATAGTCTCTACTCCATTTTACATGCATAGTCTCCACTCCAATTTACATGCATAGTCTCCACTCCAATTTACATTTATAGTCTCCACTCCAATTTACATGCATAGTCACTACTCCAATTTACATGCATAGTCTCTACTCCATTTTACATGCATAGTCTCCACTACAATTTACATGCATTGTTACATGCGTTACACAGTCAAGTTACATGCATTGACTCTACCCTTTATGCTTTTTTCCCCTTAGAAGATGGTTCTTCTCAAGAGGTTCAATATTAGCTGCCTCATTACCAACCCTTCGAGCATCATTCTAATTGTTTTAGCTTCCACGTAATCTTGACTGTTCCTTCTGACATTCAGCTGATTACTCGGTTATAATTTCCTTTGTTTTGAGCAATAGAGTTTAAGTGCATCTATATATATTTTTTGCAGACGTTAAAGGCATTATATTTATTGGAATCGTCGACAGTGAAAAGTTTATATGTAAGGTAAACAGGGCGTTGAACTTATCCAGTCCATTATACTGGATTGTTAAATTAATAATCTTAGAGATTTGTGGAAATAAATGAGTGCATAAATATTACTTGTACGGAAGGGTTTAATGTTAAAGATTTAGCTACTCAGGACGAAGTGTCCATGTAGCACGGGCTATGGTGAGCCCGTAATTGAGTTTGGTTATACATGATAACCTTTTTACTGTGATATTTGGGTCTAAGTTTAAAATGGAGGAGAGGACTTCTCCTTTTTCCCTGCTTATTTATCGCTTCTGTTTTAGTGCACTGGTTTTAATCTTGTTTTATTAACATTATCTTGGTGGCAAAGGGTTTAATGTTAATGCCATACTTATAACGTTTGCCCGAAACGCATTGCGTAATAGTGGCTTTAGGCATTGTATGTACTAGCTCTATCTATATATCAATCCATTAATGTAACATCACTTGTATGTATATACCTTACCTGAATAAACATATTTATTTATTTATATTATATAAACTATCACAGGAAAGTGCTAGGTACTATTTGCTGGTTTGAATACAGGAGTAAAATATACCATTTGGTGACCATGATATTATTACGAGCATTTTGTTGACCAGACCACACACTAGAAGTTGAAGGGACGACGCCGTTTCGGTCCGTCCTGGACCATTCTCAAGTCGATTGTGTTTATCACGAGTGTCACCGTATATATGCTAGGGGCTAGAGGCAAGATATATGCGTGGAGAGATCTCCACACCCGCCAGAGGAAGAGGGAGCGTTAGGATCCAGGAGACGAATGAGAGGGATGGACGAGCACAAAAGATGGCGATAAAGGATGTGATAAGGAGCACAGGATAAATTGTGGAGTAATGGAGAGAGGCGAGCTTTGAGCCCCTCGATCGTAGAGGCTGGGACGATAAGACGACCCAGGATGCTCTCTTTCTATATCTCTTTATATATATATATATCTATATCTCCCTCTCATTGTTGCTGCTACAGACACCTGTACCTGCCTGTCCATTATCTCATGTTAAACAGTCCTATCAAATAATATATTACACACAAAAATCACAATTGCGTCATGCATCAAATGAACAATATATAGATATAGATAACGAGGATTTTATTACTACGCTAGAGATAAGGAGGATTTTATTACTACGATAGAGATAACGAGGATTTCATTACTACGCTAGAGATAACGAGGATTTTATTACTACGACAGAGATAACGAGGATTTTATTACTACGATAGAGATAACGAGGATTTTATTACTACGATAGAGATAACGAGGATTTTATTACTACGACAGAGATAATGAGGATGGGACTGAATTTATTGAGTATTGGGACTAGAACTTCTGAGATAAATGTCGCTTCGGCGATTAGACTAACGAGAGGGGAGGAAGCCAGCTTTTGAACTTTTAATCTCAGTTCAAAAGGTGGGAACACTGCAGGCGATGAGTGACAATAACGTGGCTAAAGTAAGTTGACCAGACCACACACACTAGAAGGTGAAGGGACGATGACGATTCGGTCCGTCCTGGACCATTCTCGAGTCGATTGAGAATGGTCCAGGACGGACCGAAACATCGTCGACATTCCATAATGCTTTTGTATTTGTAATGTAAGATATGTTGATCATTTGTGAGCCCTTTGAGGGGTAACTGTAATAGAGGGTATAACCCTAACCTGCTCTCCCTTATTGGGGTGTATTTTACGATCACAACAACCTCACTGCGCCAACCCAGACACGCACACACACAATCAAAACAAAACAAAAAACTACGCAACAAAAGATCATGTGAGTGTGTGTACTCACCTAGTTGTGTGTGTGTGTGTGTGTGTGTTTGCATTCCGGTCACAGCCGGAGGAGGCGGTCAGCCATAACTTAGAACGAGATACAAGGAGCGGATAGCGCCCGAGACAAAAGAATAACATTCTCTGTCACCTTGTTTCAAGCCCAAGTCGGCAGCCACATGCATGACTTCGTGAGGCGGTCCCCAGCGGGTGCTTACAGCTGGGAGTCTGGAGGGGGAAGGCTGGGGGATGCATGAGGGGTCGGGAGCCTGGGGTAGGTAGGTAGGAAGGGCCTGGCCGCCTCCCCCAGTCCAGTATTTTGTGGTCAACGCGCCCACGGGATCAGCGGCTGACGTTGAGGGTTCGTCCCCGGCTCCCCCTCATGCTCTAAGACTCCCCCGGGGACGACGACCCAAGTCCTAGGCGACAGCACATCTTGCCAGCGACAACCCCAAGTCCCAAGGACCCGCTGCTGAGACCTCACTCCCGGGTTCGTCCGTCCCTCATTCTCTCCCTCGCCGCCTCATTCCTCCTCTACTGGTGGAGGCAACGCGCCTGCCTCAGGCCGTAGCTGGAGTAAATGTGAAGTTTATGATTGATGCTGTGTTTATTTTAAGGAATATGAGGGCAAAGAGGAGACTGAAGGCTTGCGGGCAAAACATATAAGAGAAGACCAGAGGATATGCCGTTCTTATTTTGTATAAAATGAATAAAGCTTTTTATGTTATCAATCTTATCTGGACAACTGAGAACAGGAAAGAAAATCCAAAGGCTCGAAAGGCTTAGATTATCATTACATATTCTACTACCCCTTACCACACTATTGTTACTACCCCCTACTACTGCTACTACTACTGTTACCCCTACTACTACTACTACTACTACAGCCTGTACTACTACTACTACCACTACTTATACTACTATTACTACTACTACTACTGCTTCTACAACTACCCATATTACCCCTACTACTACTACTGTTAATACTACTACTACTAGTAGTACTACTCCGACTACTGATATTATTCCTTACTTATGGTCTGTAATTCGTATGCATGATCTCAAGATACACATCCAACATTCCTTACGATGTGTAGGTAGACTCTGGGGCGCTACACACAGAGAGAGAGAGAGAGAGAGAGAGAGAGAGAGAGAGAGAGAGAATGAATACAACCGGTATTGTGTCCGGGGTAAGAAGAGGTGACATGATGCTTGGAGCGAGGATGTAGTTAAGTCGAGGAGAAGGGCGGCAAGATGCGACATATCTCGCCAGGGTATGGAGTGGACGTCAGCTTCCCGGAGCCTCAAGGGTCGCCTCAGGACGCGGAGGCCGCCGCCGCGCCCTCCTGACACGTGATAAAAGGCAGAGAAAATCCCCCACTCCCCCCACCCTCCCAACGGCGGCCAGAGATAAGCGTCTTGGTGTGTGACCTGTAAGGATACTTTGGCAGGCAAACAGGGAGGCAGAGACAGGCTTTTTTGTTGTTGTTGGATATACCCGTGAGAGTTTGGAAGCTGGGATGAACAGGCTGTTGGGTCAATGTCGGATGAGATAACAACCTCTGAAAGGTCTAGCATGCTGTGGAAAGGGAGGTTACCTTGAGGTGCTTCCGGGGCTTAGTGTCCCCGCGGCCCGGTCGTCGACCAGGCCTCCTGGTTGCTGGACTGATCAACCAGGCTGTTAGACGCGGCTGCTCGCAGCCTGACGTATGAGTCACAGCCTGGTTGATCAGGTATCCTTTGGAGGTGCTTATCCAGTTCTCTTGAGCACTGTGAGGGGTCGGCCAGTTATGCCCCTTATGTGTAAGAGTCCCTAGCTGTGTTATGAACAATATACTCGAGTACTGTAAGATCCCTTACTGATTATGCTGCACCTGTCATTTCTTGTTTTGGTAAAGGTAGGATGGGCAAGCTGGAGAAGGTAGAAAATGAAGTCATGAGAATAATCTTAGGATGCCCAAGAAGTGATATGATTGAGATAATGAGGCTGGAGTTGAATCTCAAGAGAATTGGTGATAGACTTTCAGAGATAAATGTAGCCTCTGCCATTAGAATAATGAGAGGTGTGGGAGCTAATAAATTAATACTCTCAGTTCAAAAGGTGGGAAGTAATTAACAATGTATGTTAAAGTATGATAAGGTGCTCATGTATGCTCTCTTATGTTCTAGTGTTATAAAGTATTATGTATTGCTTTGCCTATCTTGAGATGATTTCGGGGCTTAGCGTCCCCGCGGCCCGGTCCTCGACCAGGCCTCCTTTTTTGTTACACATCCCCAGGAAGCAGCCCGTAGCAGCTGTCTAACTCCCAG